GGGGAGGGTGTAAAGTTGGAAAGGAAAATAGAGTAAAACCACAACACGGCAAAACTGAAAAAAGCTTAGAAAAGGGGTTAAAGTCCACTCAACAAAAGGAGTACAGTGAGAGCGACAGAGATCCCAGCGGCACATGCATTGCGTGGATAGGTAATAATAATAATAATAATAATAATAATAATAATAATAATAATAATAATAATAATAATAGCATTTGTATCCCGCCTTTGCCCACAACATGGGCCCAAGGCGTACATAGGAGATTAAAAACGCATTCATACTAATACCATACAAATTCATCATGTGCGCACATTTTGACAGCAACATTCTTTCAGACAATAAAAAAGAAAAGCTTTGTAGAGTTGCCAAATTTTGTAGAAGTCACAGGTTCTTTTTTGTTCCTATATTATTGCACAGACACACGCGCGTGTGCGCACGCACTCACGCAAGCAAGCACGCACGCACACACGTACGCACACTCACACATACACATAAGTTATACTCATTCACATGAACAAACACGCGCTCACACACGTGCGCGCACACACACAGACACACACACACACACACACACACACACACACACACACACACCCTCACACACACACACAAACATACACACACAGAGAATAGAGAGAGAGAGAGAGAGAGAGAGAGAGAGAGAGAGAGAGAGAGAGAGAGAGAGAGAGAGAGACTGCGAGAGAGAGAGAGAGACTGCGAGAGAGAGAGAGACTGCGAGAGAGAGAGAGAGAGAGAGAGAGAGAGAGAGAGAGAGAGAGAGAGAAAGGGAGAGAAAGGGAGAGAGATAGAGAAAGAGCGAGAGAGCGTGCAACACATGCATAGAACAAAAATGTCATGATTGTAGAGAAAATGAAGTGGTTAGTTAATAAATCGAAATTCGCAAGAAAGCGAGGCAAAACCAAAGAAAAACGAAACAAAAAAAAGAATCAAACCCAAAAGTGTGAGGGAAAATCTACATACACTCAAAGATAGTACAAGACAAGATGGGCCACTCAGCCTAAGATAGTACAAGACAAGATGGGCCACTCAGCCTAAAAAGTGTCCGCAGGAAGTATGCTCTTTGCTTCAGATGGCGCTGCAGTCTGTTTTGAAGCTCTCTTTCGTTTTTCCAGAAGAAGAATAGGAATAGCACCTCCTTGCGTGCGCAGATCGACTGCTGTTCATCAGCAGTTCGGGTACGTTCAGTGCGGAGTTTTAGGGTTTTTTTTATTTTAATGTCCTCTCGCCCTTCATTCTAAAGTCAAATTAAACGAAGAAAACCATCTCCTTTTCCTCCGGAAGAGGTTTTTTGTCAGCGTAACCATTTTTATAAAGCGTTCTTCCGAAATTTATCCCAAAACTTGCTAGTTTCACTTTGATTTTTTAAAACTCAAGTAGGGTAACTCTGTTCGCAAAGAGTGCGCTTTTGTGAAGAGGGCGCCACCAAATTTTGAGGACACTTTTTTAATTGGCTCAAAGAGAGAAGTGGCCCATCTTGTCTTGTACTATCTTTGATACACTTTCAGATTCACAAAACGTGGTGACGTCACACACGAGTGCGAGGAATGGCGTCATCAACTTACGATTGCTTCCTCTTCCGGTACGGGGGGCAGAATGGTCGAGTGAGGGGGAGGGGGAGGGGGTGTGGCAGGGGGTGTGGCAGGGGGCGGGACGGGGACTGGAGTTTTTCGTTTGATAATCACTGTGAAAGCAACATATCGTTTTACGGTCAGCAGGAAGAAACCTTTGTTTTGGTCAAAGGACAGAAAGGAATCTGAACAGTTTGGATGGAATAAAATTCCCAGCTCAAGCTTAGGGGGTAAAATTCCACAAAACTCCTGCAGCCTTTTGGACCAGGTCAACACTTTGCCCTCAGATCAGGGTTCAGATAAAGTGTCAGTGTCTGGCCTGAATAGTGTCTAAAGTGACGTAAAGCACTTGTGGTTTTGGCCAGGGACTAAGAGCAAAAAGAACAAAAATAAACCAAATAATATTCGAAGATCGCAGAATCTACACAAAGACAACCATAAAGGCCCTGCAATAAATTATGGTAAATACAGACTGTTGAGTTAACCGGAGCTGAAGCATTAATGACGAAATGGTGAGAAATACAGATAAAAACAGAGACAAGTACACGACGCAATGAAGAGAGATGGGGGGGAGAGAGAGAGATAGATAGATAGATAGAGAAAGAGACAGAACGAGAGATAGCGAGAGAGATAGGGAGAGATAGGGGGAGAGAGAGAGAGAGAGAGAGAGAGAGAGAGAGAGAGAGAGAGAGAGAGAGAGAGGGAGGGAGGGAGAAAGACACAGAGAGAATGAGAGAGAACAGAGAGAGAATGAGAGAGAACAGAGTGAGAGCGAACAAGAAAGAAAGAGAGAGAAATAAGACCGAGAGAGAGGGATAAAGAGAGAAAGAAAAATAACGAGAGAGCGAGAGAGAACAAAAGAGAGAGAGAGAGCACACACACACACACACACACACACACACACACACACACACACACACACACACACACACACACACAGCAGAGAGACAGAGAGAGAGAGAGAGACAGAGAGAGAGAGAGAGAGAGTAGCAAGGTGATAGCAGCTACAACAACCCAAACATTAGCACCAGCCCCAGCACCGTGAAGTAAAATAGCAAGAACAACCTAAAGCAACAATACTGCACAGGCACGCACTCACGCAAGCACGCACCCACGCACGCACGCTC